TAAGTTGTCACTTTCTCAAAGTGCAGTGATGTATGCTTTAATAAAAATCTTAAAAATGCAAGCGCCAAAGGCACATTGCTCCAGATAAGGGGTCTGGGGGACACAGATACAACATCCAAATATCCAGATAAATATGATAGATTTTCAACTCTAAAAGTTGACCAATCCAAGAGTCTAGGGTATATACACCATATGGAATCTTCTAGTACTAGTATATATATATATATCTACAGAGAGACCAGTCTACCTAGTGGCCCTGCTGATGCCAAGTGGCAGGTCATCCATCAACAAACCAGATGACACCTGTATTGTGACTGTCTTTTGTCACAGCAATTCATTTGCTCAGGTATTTCTACTCTTCAGTGGTCCACAATGAGTCTGGTCAGTCTACTGTCCACAGGGGGACAGCGTCCACTCCTGTATGGGACCACAGAACCCCTTTTTCTGTGTCCTAGATCTATATATATATGTATATATATTGATCAATCTTGAGAGTGGTTCTATTCATCTTGTCTGACACAACAAGGTGCAATGATTCCAAGTTCCTTGCCCAAGAAATGCAAGTTGCAAGAAACATGTTTTATTTGCACAGTCAGGCACACATGCAAATGTGTGTAGAGTACAAGAAAAGTCTCGAAAGCAGAAGACAACAGAAAGGGGGAGTTGTATCTTTATTCAATGTCAGTCACAAACTGAATTGTTTTTCCACATTAGCAATTGTGCAGTCCTCCAGAATTTGTAAATCTTGCTGAACTGTTACTTTTCAAAAGTATCTATCTGCCTAGGAAAAAAAAACTGTACTAGTAATTTCTTTGTATTTAACGTTAGTAAATATTGATATCTGTCCCCTTGTGGCCTACAATTAATCAATCAACTGCAAGTTAACTACTCCAGCTACTCAACACATACAGACGCTTCCTGATGGTACCTCCTGTAGTGAGCATTGTTAAATCATAATAAAGTGAACTAATCACAGTAATCAGCAAGACTTCTTACCACGTTACAAAGGCAGATAAAGCAATTTTCTGTCAAAAGATTGACTTTTCCTAGTTGAAATCAGGCCCCTTGCCTTGCTCAGCAGTGGGAGTAGTAACACCAGGAGAAAAGGTTTTTTTGTTTGCCTGTCTAGGGTGAGCAAAAACTATCAGATAGGGATCAGAGGATAGTGGTGAGCAGGGTACTAGTACTAGTACTAGTACGCTTATCCTCAATGTGAACTCCCAGAAGCAGGTTTCTAAAGTTGTTCACTTTGGCAAAAACAGTTAAAGCACAGTATCAATTTGACTGATATCAAAGATGAGACAATCACCTTACTTGTAAATGAAAGGAACGTATCTGTGTGGCTTCTGTGTGGCTGTTAGCTTTCACTTATTTAATAGGTGGTGGTTTGGTTGCTAACATTGAATAGAACGTTAAAGAACCAGTTTAATTTCAGTCAATGTAAATGTACCTCATGTTCACTTCAGAGCACGTATCCACCATAATCATAAATACTATATATTCATTACTGTAACGGCTCTCTGGCTCACCTTGACGATGAACCATTAACAAGTTGCCTTCATCCACCCTTTAATTTGATTTCTAATTTATTATAAAACAAGGGTCTTGTAAACTGTTCCTCGCTGGTTACCCTCAGGCAGTTAAATGTCATGGAGTGTGAGCATTTGTCTCTGTCTCACACTTCCAGTGCTCTGGGCAGAACCAAATCCCTGTTTTGAACTACTTAATTATCACAGCTCTGGGCAAGGACATACCAGAACCAGCACTACCTGACATCCAAGTTCCCGTGACGAGCTAGGACATGGTGCTCAGATACTGGGCCCCAGCTAACACTTAAAAGTGGCCCTTATTGTGGATAACTTCTTCAATTATTGAACCAGATCAATACTCTCCACAAAGATCACTGATTAATAAGTAATCTATCAATTGAACTTGTGTCTCCAAGCAAATGTTGTAATCAAAGAGCCTCTCTTTCCTGATCAATTATTTAACCATGCACAAACCTTGGACTTCATACATAGCACAAATGTACCATCTTTGATTGTATACATGTTCTATCTGCTGACCTTCTTCCAGAGGTAACATTTAAAATCATTTTTCTAAAGAGTTTTCTCCCTCTTTCATAGCTCAACATGTATATAACAAACTGAAACTTAAATATAACATCACTGATAAAAATTGTCGCCGAAGTAAAATCGAGTCATTCTGTGTTTGCAAAGATCAGCTGATTTTAGGTGACTACTAGTATCATATACACAGTATATTGTGTGTATCTGTCTGCTTTCTAGAGCAGAAGCATTCATCAATGGGAAGAAAAGGAACATGGGAGTCTATTTCACAAAAAACATCCACTTAAAGAAAATTTTAATAACTTAAAAATAATATTTTGGTCTGGCTGTGGCCTTGTTGCCTGCGTAAACTTGTGTAACAGTAAACAATACCTTTAATTCAGACATTAAGTAAACAAAACAGGCGCAGTACCACAATTTATCAGTCCAATGCCGAAAAGAGCCTTTGATAGCAAGCATATCAACACAAAATAGAACAAGTTTTAAAAAGCCAACAAAACATTTGAAACTTGTATGCAACAGTCAAGTTATCAAAACAACGCAGGTGGCATTGAAAGTAACCTTGTAGAGAAAGGTGGTAATCTGGAAACTGAAAACCAGTGAACATTAAATTCTTATTTTTTGACAGAACAAGCCTTTTTTTCTTTCTATTGGTCATAGTTTCAACACCATTTGCTGTCCAGTGTAATTGTAAAGTAGTCCTTGTGCTATAATAATCACACAATACTTCTGTGTAGTCCTAACAACAATATGTGAACTCTAGGACCTTGAGAACTTATTGCCTTAGTGTTCTAAGTACTGATATGGGGTATTGTATTAAAACTCATGACTGTTCAAAGTTCTGTTACTGGTCACGAGGACATTAACTGTATACAACACCCTGAAAACCTCACAAATTTTAAGGAAAAAGTACCGGTAAAAAAACAAAATGGAAAAATAATAACAAACTAAAAAAGCACTCCGAGAGCGCAGACCTCTGCCAAGGCAGCAATTTTTGATTATTATTGATTGATTATTGATCTGGATCACCACCAAAAACTAATCATCTGTTCCTTGGCCCACTTCTGGCAGTTCCTGAAAAATTCATCAAAATCGGCCCATAACTTTTTGAGTTATGTTGATAACAGACAAACAGGGGTGAAAACATAACTTCCTTGGCAGAGGTAAAAATGAAAAAAACTCATACGTATTCTCAAACTAAAACTAATACCTAGTTGTCAGCTTCACAGCTTTCATTTAATTTTGTAGCATATGGACATGACTACTTTTATCAATTTTAAACATCACGAGACAAGTGCTTGTGCCTTAAATTAATAAATAATTTATTATAGCTCTGCTGCAAAACTAAAATGTCACTAGAAATGAATTCCTATTCAGACTGGAGGCAATCATTTTTGAAAGTTTTTCACGTGCTTGTATTTTCACAACATCTTTCACCTATTCTTCTCACTGACACAATCGTCAACTATAATGAATATTGTTAAAACATGAAACTTAACTTCAACTGACATTAAAATAACCCAATATGGACATCCTAGGTTTCTTTAATAGCATAAACTGGCAATAAATTAAGCAATTTTAGTTTTTTGTAGACATTCAGACAAACTACCGACGAGTCACCAGACAGTCTGAATGTAGAGAAAATATGCAGTTGACACCTAGGCAGTTTATTCCTATGACCTGCAGTGACTCAATAGTGCAAATCTATAATTTACAGCCTTCATGCATCCAGTAGGAATCTTGAAGATGGGTTTTTGTCTACTTTAGACTTCATGGAATTTTGAAAGAGGAGAGGGATAAACTATTTATGCACTGGAACTTCATTTTTTTCCAAAATAATTAGTAATGTATGATTTAACTGTGAGTTGGATCTAAATATATATGAACACAATTTCACATCTCTGCACAATGTGAATTCCCTGCAAATTCATTTTAAGCAAAGATCACAGTGGAATCATCCACTTGTGCAAAGCAATTTGTCAAAAGAAATCAGGAGAGAAAATCAACCAGCTTACATATGAACGACATCATGCTCTCTTTAAATAATGCCTTATCATGGTATCTCATACAATGCAGCAGTTGTTTTCTATTACTTGTTACTTTTACAGTATATGATCTTTGCTGGCATGCCTCAGTCAATGCAAGTATGCAGAACAGCTGTAATGGAAAGTATGTTACAATGTCAACAAAGTCATTGTCTCAGCCAAGTTTCCATGCCAATAAATATTTCTAAACAGCATTTTTTCTTGCTGTTAGACCTAACCCTAAGCAGAACTATGAGCCAAAGTACCTGTTTAAACAAACAAAAACATGGACTTAGATAACAAAATCATTTATTTGAGCTGGTGCAGTCAGCATGGTGGGGTCAGATAATAAATCATGGATTTTATCAACAAATCTCAGTTACTGTTTTAAGCTTGTAAATAAAAGTGATTCAGACTGGTTCAGACTTGAGCAAACAACGTTACCAGTTTTTTATCGCAACTTCCTTGTTTGAATCACATTCATGATAGTCCCAAACAGGTATTAGAACATAGTTTGCACAGGAGTTTTGAAACTTGTTTCAGAATATGCTCCAAGGGGTGTGTTTGTGTGTGTGTGTGTGTGGGGGGGGGGGGTCTGTCAGAGAAACTATCATGTGCATCAGTTTCTTCAGTTTCTATGCATATTGTAGCTGTTGGTTTCTGATAGCAGGACAGAGCAGAGAAGGCATTTGTCAGCTTGCCAACCACTTTCTACAAGACCACAGCCACTTATCTATTAAACATATGCCCGCTTTTGTATGTTATACTTGATACAAAGTGATATTTTATTTCAAGAATCATTTGCACATGCATGCTTGCTCATGTATGTATGTATGGTAGCTTACGAGTGCATGTTCCAACCAATGTCTAGTGATAACATAAGATATATTCACAAAAATCCACTCACCTTTTTCTCCTTCTTGGTGGATAAATTGGATTTCTCTAACTGTACATTGGCACCAATAAACTCGTACTTGACTGTCTTCACCACCGTGGCAACATGCTTATCCACTGTGCTTGATTTTTCTGGGGTATTTGGAACATCATCAATGTTTGTGACAGGCACACTGTTGACCACTTGAGTTTGTGAATGATACCCATTGTTTTTACTACCATCACTAACTTTTGCTGTTCCTGTGAGGACAGTATAGTCTATGTCTGATGGGGCATCGAATATGGATTTATCAGGAATAAAATGATTACTTGGCGGCTGAACAACGTCCACCTTTTTCAAGTCCAGAGGTTTTGGCGTGACTTTCCTAGCTTTCGCCTCTACTGGCACCAGTGTGGCACCACCAGGCACCACTTTGGGGTCCCCTGCAGAGAAAAACCAGGACTTTCCTGCTTTGCGGATCCTTTCCAGCGCTTTATCACTGATGATGACACGTCCGTCTGCCGTATGCTCTACCCGACTTTCAGGCTCGTCTGGGGTCAGGAAACGGTTATTAGAAAAGCGGTTTGAAAAAGTAGGTCCCTGTTGCTTTTTAGAGCCAACTATCTCCGATACACGATTTGAGAACCCATGCTGTTCTCTTGATGCTGTGGACTCTATGGCCTTACTCTTTTCCTTGGAAACCTTTGGTTGTTGATTCACAATTGCTGTTTTTTCTTTCTCTGCCACCTTTTCTATTTTACTCGGAACATCTTCACTGACCTTTGCTCTTGGAGCTGGTGCCACAGATACGACAGGCCTGGGTGCTGGTGCCACTGAGACAACAGGTCTTGGTGCTGGTGCCACAGACACCACAGGTTTGGTTGAAGCTGGTTTGGTCACGGCTGATGGTTGAATGAACTCTGTCCTTGAGGGTGCAGACCCAACAGAAGACAGTGCTGGGTGTTTTGGGGCAGGTTGTTTGGAAGCTCTGGCAGTTTTCACACCCGATTGGTCAGGCTGAGGCGCAGGACGCTTGGTACTGGGCGCTTTATTTCCATTGGTTAGTCTCCCTGAAGGCATGTCCAGTGGTTTGTTAGCACTTACTTGTGAACTTGGCTTGACTTTAACTTGCTCTCCTTCCTGTGTGGAAGTAGCACCCTTCGGCTTGTTTCCCCCTGGTGGCTGTGGTGCTCTGCGCTTTTTTAATGTATCATTATACGACTTCCCTGGTGGAGGGGCACTTGGGTCCTCAAACATTGACCGTGCTGAAAGGACGGTGTTAGGCTTAGGCAGCTCTTCTTCAATGACCTCTCGGCTACTGCTTCGTATCCTATAAGGCTCCACGTCACCATTTGGGATAATTTCTCTGTCTCTGGGTTCTTCTATAATGATAATGTCCTCCCTGTATGAGGACATTGGGCTTACAATAAGAGGCACATCAGCTGAGGTGCCACTTCCAATACGTATGCGCTCTGGTGACTCGAAATCATCGCAACTGACAGAATCTTGCTTAGGATGGCCATCGACTGTATCCCGCTGCTGAGGGGCACTTTGCTGACGTTTTGGACTTATGTGCACTGGTGAACTGAAATGCCTGGAACCAGCCAGGTTGTCCACACTTTGGGCCTTATTCTTAGCTGTCAGTTTAAAACCAACATCACGTGGTGACATTTCGTTACTGTTCGAACGCAAGCGTGTTGTCTCGTGTGAGTGTGCACGCTCAAGACTAGATGTGTTCCATACAGGCTTGGAGGCATTTGCTGTGGGTGAAAGTAAAGAGGCAAATTTCCCTCTCAGTTTGTTCACAAACCCAGGCCTATAGGGCTCCTCATGATCCGACTCAGCAGGACTACTGTTCTCCACCTCGCCATCTCCTTCATACTCTATCTCAGTAACCCCATCCTCACAACTTACATCGATCCTCAACTCCCGACTTCTCCTCCTGGATCGACCCTGCTGGTCCTTCACAACCCACGGATTACTTTTCACGGGAATTATGTGAGTCTCCTCGTCAAATCCGTTTTCCCTGACATCGTCATTAGCACAGATGTCGTGCTTGTTATGGGTGGTGGCTCCAGCTGAGTGACCTCCATTTTTTTCTGACCCAGTATCACTTTGATCACTGCTGTGTGAATGATGCGAGGAATGATCAGACCCATTTCTGCTGAACTCACTGTCTATCTCATTATCTGAATATGTCTCCGATTTCGCTTGTCGTCGACGTTTTTCGACGATTTCCCGTTTCCAGGCAGGCAGTCCGACAAGCATTTTATCTTCGTGGTGGGGCCGATTACTTTGTGTTGATCTCTCGTCACGGTGACTAATTTGTTGCGTGGTATGTTTATCCCTTTTTTCAATCAGTGCCTGTTTCCATTCTGGAACTGAGGACATAGTTTCAATCGTATCATGCATTTAAAGCTGTTTTTGGTCCCGTTATTCTCAGTTTTTCAAAATATTTTCTGCCCCGTTCCGAAATCTACAAGTGGTCACAGTTTGTACATGACGTCACTTTCAAACCGGTGTTCTACGGAATCTTGGGATAGGATCGAACTGGAAAGTCAAAGAAGTGTCAAATAATAACAATTTCTTGCTTAGTATAAGCGTCCTATGATAATATAAGGCAAATTCATGCTATACTGATTTTAATTTATCTCCTTAAAGGATAAGTTGCAGGTTAAATAGCAAAATATATCATGATATGTAAAGCGAGATATGATTGGTTCAAATGTCTGGTGGAAAAAAATACGTGTTGGTCACTGCGTGTTGGTGGAGATAAGAAATGCTTCTATAGAATTAGTTATTGAAAGATTTAGACAAATAATTTTCTATTTTTGATATATAATTCAATTAAAAGATTAAAAGTTCATAATATTTTCTAAAACCTTAAAAGTTAGCACGAAGTTGCATTTAATTTTAACCAATCCGCATCAAGATTTTATTTGTTAAAACTGTCGCGACCGGAACAGGAAATCCGCGAAGCGGTAACCAAGGGCAATACCCTGTCGACCACGACGCCGAAATAATAACACGAGCCTCTGCAATGAAATAGACCGTTGTCTGTAAATTAGCAGGATTTTATTGACAGGAACGGAGACAGTCTTGCCAAAGAAGTAACATCATGGCAATGAAAACAGTTCAATTAAATACGGCCACTATAGGACCGGAATCGTGGCGAAATGCCTCCTTGAAGGCAATCAAGCTGTCGCAGAATATCGTGGGACGGAGCGACAAAGCTTGCGATTTGGGCAGGTCTATGGACCCTGTCCCGCAACTGAGAGATACTGTTGGACAACTTAGTAATGATGAAATTCATCGATATGTTAGAGAAACCCGCGTTGTGGTTGCCAAACTTAGAGAAAGCATGTTGGATACAAACGAAGAAATTAAAATGCTTACCAGAGGGAAGGAAGCGCTCGAAAAAGCCCTGGAACATAAACGCAAAGACATTAAACTAAACAGAGAAAGTTCCGATATTCGTGTTTCAAGACCAGCAAGGGAAAAGGTAGGCATATGTTGTACTTAATTTTTTTTATTTCCTGTAATGTTAATTAAATGATAAGGAAATGCAATTTCTCTTATCAAATGTGTTTTTACATGTTAGCGTTCACAGTGTTGAAAAAAAAACAAAAACAAAAAAAATTATATTTAATATAGATGATAATTCCCTCGGCCATATAAGAGTTTGAAATCCAAAGAATTATGTCATGTGCCAATGAAATCTACCCCTGCCCCTGTCCATACACCTAATTTAAAAGATATTTATGATAACTAAGACCAGAAACATTTTACCTGTGGGAAAAATGAAGTTGTCTGACTTTTCCCCCTTTTTCTTTCTATCCTTTCATTATAAATGCTTCAGATATCCAAATGGATCTAATTGGAATAAATTTGGATGATTGTTTATATCAAGTTGAAACAATCTAAAATATAAATAGCATTAAGGATAAAACCATTGTTTTGTTTTCCTTTTTGAGTTTTAAGTGATGAAAGTTGAAAATTAAAATCATTTTGCTTCAAGCCATTTTTAAATTGTAGAATACAAATATATACATTCATTTATGTTTGCAAATTAAAGATAAGAGTATTTTGTGTTATGTTTGCTTCTGAAGGAAATATCTGATCCCTAAACAGTGTGTCATCAAACACAGACTGTTGCTAGACATGTTTTTCAATTCAATATTCTTGATAATTAGGTATCGATTGTATTCATTCCTGTCACAATGATTGAACTTCATCTATTCTACATGACCAGATTGCATTAGTGTTGAACAAAGAATTAATTAGTAGTCTCTGAAAGAGAAATCAATTTCTGTTTCACCCTTCTGGATACTGGTCGATTTAGATGAAACTTTCAGGATTGTGTTAATATTTTTAATCAGAAAGGAGATTTGCAGGAGAAATGTCTTTTTTTATTCATTCATAGGTGGAATATAAAGATATATCATGACCAGGTTTTTATTGGAAAGAAATATGGAACCATGTTTTGTGATACCCTGGATAGATCATAATCTTTTTGAGATATGAATCTAGCCTCTTATTTAACTACTATAATTGAGAAAGCTTTTTACCTAAACCAGAGTCTTAAGTATTTTTTGAAAATGTGTGATAAAAAGAATTAAAAGGAAATACTAGATTGCTGCACTTTGAATTGGAGTAACAAATGACATCTTTCTTCACTTAGCACCTGTTTGGTGAAGAGCTCTTCAGTTGGAAATCAAATTAAGCCTTATCAATGAGGAAACGCTCAATAAAAATCATAAGTCCCTTGTGGATGATTTTGTTTGTAAACAAATTATTTCAATATCAAACTTGCCCTGCAATTAGAATGCATGACCGAAGCTTTTGTATGCATATAAATGCGTAACACCATAGCGTTCTCCCTCAATCAGACGTAGCAACGACTGGGGTGCTAAATTGCATCTATTATGTAGAATTTAAATGAGTATTTGGGGTGAAAGAGAGTTTATATTTTTCCTGTTGCGTTTTATTTCTCCTTTTTAAACCACTGTTAACAATCATTGATGTTTAGTTAAGGAGTCATGAATAATTGTGCGTATAATCTAAATATTATCTTGTATAATCTGAGCAAGGTGCATTAGTGGTGTTTAGCTAGGCTATTTACCAAAGATCAAGTTTCTGACCCTAAGTTGGTTTGTATTAACATGTCAGTCTCTTTATCTCCCTGGTTACAATTGTCACCAATAATTGTCACCCCCAATTGTCACCCTAAATCACTATGAATTTAAGTATTTAATCTTAATCTAAAGAAATTAATAGAAAGTAGAATCTCAGACTGTCAAAACTGACAGTTTCTTAAATAGATGGATGAATGTGTTACCTTTAAATTAAACAGTGTTACTTGAAATATGAGCATCATATGGCAAGTGGTAAACAGTTAAAGCTATAAGTTTGGGAGTACCAAAATTCTTCAAAATAATTATTTTTGGTCTCAAAAATATTTATTCAAGTTCTTGCACTTGTTGGTCTGTTTATCCAATGTCAGTGGCAGCTTTAGAATAAGTAATAAAACTTGACTCTATAAACAGAGTATTATTCAAACTAAATAAATAATAATACAAATTATTCAAGTGAAAATCACCATCTTGTGTGAAAGCATTGTTGTTGATAATGTTTAGCCTGGTTACCAAGGAAGCATGAATTAAGTGATCACTCTGTCCTGATTAATTTTCTGTTATGGCCCCCTCTTATCTGTGAGCCTATGTTAAACATGCTCTTTAGAGGCATTTGATGCACTGAAGCAAAATTTATTGCTCAGTAATTACATATGTCTAGGTTATAGACATGTTTATAACCTATCATGGCCTTGAGAATATGGTATAATTATGTGGTATTCCAAAAATCAGACCATGTGTCTGGTTTTGAATTTGCTAAAACATTTTATGAATGGGTCAAACATTTTCTATTTATTTATAATTTTTTATTTACATTTATTTGAAAAAAATTACCACTTTTAAGAAAAGATAATAAACATTTATTCAAATTAAAATTAGATTATTTTTCTTCACTTTCATTTATTTATCATATTTATCTAGTAGTCATTTTAGTCATTTTCAAAGTTCATGTGTTCTTTTAGGACATAGATGGAGCAGATGATTTGCTTGGTGCAGAGCGTATGCACTTGCTGAACTTGAAGAGGATGTTAGAGGCACAGCTTAAATTAGTACAACAACAACTACAAGTAAGTATTTTTCATTTTAGAAATATTACCAAGAGCACGAGTAATATTTTAAAATTTCTTTGTAAAAAGCTTATTAATGATAATAGCCAGTGTCATTTTGATTGTATTTTCCTTTAATATTTTCCTTTTACATTTTATGAAACTAATATTATAATTATTTAATCATTATCCCTTAAATTTCATTGTTCTCATTTTATTTTTCTACCAGGTATTAGATGTAGCCAGAAAGCGCCTAGCAGCTACTATACAGGAGCGCTCCCGTGTTCTTGACCTTGTATGCCACGCCCTTTCCTCTGTAGCCAACACCACTGTCCAACACACCAACAATGGCAGAATGAGTGTAAACGGGTACATGGGGTCCACACCACTGCCTCCAAGGGTTGACCCAATTGGACCCTTCACACCCGAGGCAGAGATTTCTTTGAATGAAGCCAGCGATGCCAGGAACCGCTCTGGCATGCTTCGACGGGAGTTGAAGGATCTGATCGACCGCACAGAACAGCTTCAGCAGAGTGCACACAAGTCTGTCAATGATGGACTCACAAGGAAGATAGGAGAGACTGCCACACTCAAGGTAAGACAGCCCAACTGTCAGGATGAAGATTAACAGGAATAATAAGGCGCGTCTGATTCAAAATTCATCGGAAAACATTCCTTTTGGGTTATTGTTCTGTATTATAATTTATTGAATGAAGATGGATTTGGTGACAGCTCCTCTACAGGTGAATAAGTTGTTTGAGGAATGGCAAGAAAGTGAAGTCATATTTCTGTCATGATTATTTTCAATTCATACATATTTCAGCAACACTTGCAAGTTGGTGCCGGTGAAAATAGACACTCTATCCACAGAGCTCAGAGATGGTATGATGCCACAGAGAGGGCGTGGGGATACACCAGGGTAAGTTCACAGTAGATAGATATAGTAGAATGTGAGATCTGTTCCCACCAGAACTAGTTTAGACCAGATATGGTCCTGTTAAAACACCATGTTGGATGTAGGCTTAAAGAAGTCCTGTCTGAATGAACTTTTAATATTTAATTTAGATTAAGAATGGTTTGGAGTTAAATGAATAGCTGTGGTAGAGAAGAACTATTTGAAAAGTCATAAATTGTGGTAGAGAGACAAGCGAAATACTGTGATACATTTTATTAATGCTTCTTAATTTATACTTTATATTCATATTATAATTATATATAATAATTATTTATATTATAATTTCTCTATATATCAGGGTCCAGTGACCACCTCTGACTTGACCACCCGTGAACGCCTTGACCGCCCTCTGGTCAAGATCTACCAACGCCACCCAGGCACTCAGCTGCCAGAGGCACAACTTATTGTAAAGGTATGATATTCCTTTTTTCTGAATTTGCAAATTTAAAAGTGACTATAAGTGCATATGTTTTCTTTTTCTGTATGAATTTCAACTCTACAATAAAATAATTCCCTTATATACAAATAAAATTTGATGAAATATTGCTTTTAGTTTTTATTTTGGATAGTCATGTCTTGAAAACATTATTTTGGCCTTTTAGAAAGACATAATTTTGAGCATTTTGGGAACCAATTTTTTATCGAATAAAGTGTCAAATTTATTGCAAAGTAAAAAAGATTTAATATTACGTTTTAAAATTACAAAATTTATCCTTTCAGGGAGGGGATGGCCTTCTGGATTCTCTAACAGCTACCAGCAGGAACATTGGCTTGCTCAAGTTGGCTCAACTGAAGCTGAAAGAGGACATTCGGGACAAGAAAAGTGCCATGGACGTGGATAGCAGCATCTACAGACTGCGACGACGCAAAGCCAACCATCGTTGGGTCATGGGAGAGGCATTTTGAACTCGTCGTTAGCTCAACATACTTTTTTTTTTTTCGTAAAAATTAAAGCCTTGCTTGTGTGCATTGCTTTATGCTTTATGTTTTTATTTAAAGGAAGGACCAAGTCTCAAAGGATTACTCTTTATTGTCACTATCTGCAAAAGGAAGGCCATCACAAAGAAAAAAAATCAAACTGTATAGAATTCACCTGATCAATATCTTTAATAGCCTTCCCTTCACTGGCAAGAGCCTATTTCACCATCAAACACATTAAATGAGAAAGTTATTTTTGACAAGAAGAAATACAACATCAAAACCAGTGCAATGGCCAAAGAAATTGGACTGCATGCAGATTTGTACATAAAAATAATCAGAGATTGACACTGCTGAGGAGACAATCTGAGTTTTTTTTTAACAACTTGTCAAAAGTGACAGTTGAACAGCTAGAAGTATTATGCATAAATGTGAGACATTCCAAGATACTGTATTTACTGAATTGCTCAAATAGAAATTAGATAATGACAAGAACGGAGCTCAACTTAGATGCTCCCTTAGCCAGTGGTATATTACTACTGATGAGGACTGTGATTTTCTGCTGTTTCGATCTCTGCTTCATATTCTTGTATATCATACAATTTTTCCCACTTTAACTGTAACATATTTCATTTTTTCATTTTTTTTTTTTTTTTTGTCATGTGAATAATAAGTACATTTACTCAGTGATCACGTTTGAAATTAACTGAAATAAAAAATTTCAAAAATATGTAATTTTCCTTGCTGTAGTGGAATGAAGGTGTTTATTTAGAGTAGGTACTGCACTGGGTTCAAATCAAGATTTCATGTACATCCCCCAATCCCCACCAAGTTTAAGACCCCATTCCTTCACCTCGATCGATCTAGCAGGATCGACCCTTCTCCAAAGGGTTTCTCGCTAAATTACATTCAGCTTACACAGCTCTGATGTCTGTCATGCCTTTTGAAGCTATTAGGGGGTAATTAACTGTTATTTGGCGGCTTCAGTAGGCATGCCAGACATCTAAACTGCTTAATCTGAATTCATTTACCAAGAATCCCCTCTGAGATGGGTCGATCTAGGTATGGGAATCTAGGTAGGTATGCTGAGAAAGTAAAACTCTTCTATATTGCTGTCCACTTTTTTACAAAGGACATCCTTGAAAAATTTAATATTTCTAATTAGGTATAACTGCCTTGAAAATTGTCCTAAAGTGTTTTCTATGAACATATCCTTCAAAGTTTCTGATCTTTCCTAATTCAGAGTTAAACACTAAAACCTCTGAAACATTGCTACGCAATACCCAAATTTTCTTCCGAGATGTATAGGATGACATGGCAGTTTAAGTGACTGGTCAGACATTTTTAAAAACTTTACTTCAGTTCCTCTTGGAAATGGTGTAAAACATCCAATCTAAGGACAGGGATAAATCAAACACTGACTAGAGAGCAAGAGAAAAATCCAGTTTTTTTTTCCAAAGAAAAATCCAATTTGGTAGAAAAACCCCTGATAGTTTTTAACATGTATTAATTTGATATGTGATTAAGTGAAACACAACTTGATTTAAAAAAGACACTTCCACAAAAAGATGTCAGAGGCCCAGGCAGCAATGATGTCACAATTCTGAAAATCCGATTTCATATAAATTTCATTTATTTCTTGTACTTTTCACATTGATATCTTACAGTATATACTAGTTAATTTCTTTATCATTACAACATGTAACTTTATTTCTCATTATGTACACTCCCCCACAGGCAGAATCGACAATTGTCTTCTGTATATATTTATATAAATATGCCAACAAGGCCAAATTGATAGCTGTTTAATATGTACATATATAATAACTAACCTGCAGCTAATAACACTGGTGCCAATTTTTGTTTACATTTTGACATATATTAACATTCTTTGTCAATAGAAAACATGCGTATGTCAAGATGGTACAAATAATTCTTGAAGCATCAGATGCATTCTTCACAGGCTAACACATCAAGTGCCAAGCACATTAAATTGAAGCAAGATTTTCACTCGACACCATATTCATTCCTACAGGCTGATACACTATATATATCTCTAAATCCCCGTTAATCTGATACAGCAGATAACAACAAAGTTCTTATTTTCTAATTTCTTATCCAAGATCTGCTAAATTGTTGGACCCTACAATTAAAGTGTTGACATAATAAGATATCCCATACAGAGTTATAGACTTGGATAGAGCAAATAACCATACTACTTGGACTACTGTATTGATGCTCTAGCTAGAAAGGGAAGGAACAGATTGAGCAAGACAAAAGAAACCTTTTTTTATAGTTGACAAAAGACTAGTTCATACCTGCTTGCTGAAACAGCAGTGTGGTTCACAATGCAGTATTATTCACCACACCCTACCAAACTAAGTAAAATGACTGTGGCAGTTAATGAGTGGGTCAGCAAGCTGATGTGAACTGGCCTCCATGTAAGTACTTGTAGTGGCCATTCTCCATATGTTAGACTTGAAAAGCTAAGCAAACAGTGCTTACACGATCTGACATTGACTGAGAAACTGGGATGATGTGAACATTTCTGATTAGACACAAAAATAAATTTTTTCGAAAACTAACAAAAGTGTAGAAGCTTATTAATTAGTAAAAAACAAAACAAAACATACAATGAATTTGCATGGCCAGTCAATTAAATTGGTTGGAAAGCACCAATCTTATTTCATTTTAAGCTATTTGGCTACAACAAAATATATGATGGTGGCACTGGCATACATAATTGTACAAAGGAAGCTATCCATCTGAAGATTTTTAAGAGAAGCCTTCTACCTGCCACCCAATCACCCTATATACTGTTACTAGTCACAGGATACGGGAGTTGAATCATGAAAGAGAATAAAAGAAAATTTTTACAACAACGAATCAATGGAATGCTTATAAACTGCAGTCTTGTAAGAGAGAAAATGACCAAATGCCAAAATAGGGCACCATTCCCAGTTATTATATACTGTCAAGGAAATATCATCCCTTTTCTTTCAGTTATGAATGAGCAAAAATTAATTCAGATAGCTAAATCAGGTACAAGCACGGTCAAATAAATAAATAAAAAGAACCTTGCTTCCATTTCTTTCTACTTTCATTCTTCAATCTTACAAGTCCCCATTCCGTAATGCCACGTGTGCTGATGGTCTTGTGCCTGTACAATTGGTTTTTATATACTATTACCAGCATATACATATGATATGACACTAAGCACTGAGTCACTATGTGTGGGAAATGAGACAGAACACACAGGTCATAATTGTTAAATGGGCAAGACTACAGTCATGCATGTATCAATTTACTGATAGTACTACATGTGAATGCTAAAGCCATGTGTTTCTAAGCAAAACAACTAGAGTGTCTCCCCTAAAAAAGCCAGACTTTCACTCTGCAGTTTTACTACCAGCATACTACTTTTCACATACAGGCGACTTGAAAAGTCAACTAATCATAAATGAATTATACAGCATTAAAACATTTGAACAAGAATGTTATGGATCCTTGTTGTACATAAATAGTGCAAATAATGCTCCCCCCCCCCCCCCCCAAGTGCTAAGACTGCTACATTGTGCCAAACTAGTATTGTTATCGAGAGAAAAAACCTGAAGAAAGAGATACAGCTGTGAAAGCAATTTCACATCCCACTCTTATCCAATCCCTGGCTTGTCAGCCTTTTGTGTCCCTTTGTGCCATGCAAAGAATAATGGGGCAGGTTTGTTTTTATATGTAATTCAGGCCACTGCATTCACCAAAACATCTTAAAAAGAATTTTGGGACAACCTTTAACCATTGCTTGCACCACAGTAATTGCACTGTCTCATATACAGAGGTGGGGTTCACAAACAATATTCCTGTTTTAGTCAAATTGCCAAAAATGTCTGCAAAATCAAAGGTTTGAACCAAAACCATGACAATATTAAATATTTAATAAAACAAATACATGTTTAACCAATGAAAGAAAAAAAATACTGTTGTTGTGAGCCCAGAAAATTAAGAGATGGATATGATTATAACAGGCTTGACTTATATTTTCCATGTGCATCTTTATCGAGCTGAACAGCATCACTCAAAGAGAGATCCAAATTTCAGTCTTTGGTGGACAGTTCCTGTCACATTTCAACTACAGGGTTACATCATCCAGTTTCTGTATCATTTAACATTGATCATGGTGGTGTCTGTAACAGTTAACATTATATTTCTGAAGCAAAAAGTGTGTAAACAGCCCCCAATCCCTGCTCCATATTTCCCCTAATGTTCCATGCGCATGTGGACTCGCGCACCCACCAATTCTCCAGGCACCCACTAATTCTCTGGTCCCTGAAGCAGTGATTCCATACTTAAACCGCACCCAAATCATTCACTCATTATTAATGGTTAGAAAGAGTGTGACCTCTGCATTTCAGTTGTCATTTCTCAAAAATGACCAAATGCAGTTGTCCCTTCTCAAAAAATGACAATATTTCCTTATTTCCGACACTTGTTCCCTCCCAAAATTCACTGATCCAGTGTGCCTCATACAGCAATGTATATATATATATATATATTTATATTATTTCTCCCTCGAATAGAGGTCATTTGCACAATGCTTCCCAGCTTTTTCATCATCCCCTGTCTCAACTGCACATGATTTTCTCATGAATACCACGCTGGGCCACACTCCCCGAGGAAAATGTGCTCGGTTCTATCTACAGATGTTTCCCGTTTTAGTTGTCTGTCCATGGTTAATTTGTGGTATATATATAGCTAGCAGGCACATCCCTCTTTATTGGCTGGCTGATCTGTGTTAATTGCATTGCGAGGCGCCGAAGGTTTGTGTTGAACGCCCGATTCTGCTGCATTCAAATCCAAACTAGAATGAAAATTGATGCAAGGTTAATTTCCCGTAAAGGAAATGTCACTTATTCATATACTATAAAAGATTCTGATTAATCTGGACTGGACAATACACTTGTAATAATTACACCAAGTATAATAATCACAGTTTGGAGAAAATGTTTCTTAACATACACAGTAAACAGTAAAATGTTTTTTTAAATGATATTTAAAATTTTAACAGAAAACTGATAAACACACTATCATTACTATGTGTGAATACATGTAATAGATCATACATCTAGTATAAATTTGCTGAAAAAAATTCAGCAAGCTCTAAGTCCTGTAGAGCATCCTATCAAATAATCAAACATGACTTCTTGCTTTGCTTTCAAATCAAGTACGTTTTTTATTACATGGCCCATTTACACTATTATACCCCTCTATACCTATGAAGACAAAAATTACCATCATTATACATATCCTAGCATGATAATTACATGTAGGGAAAAATCATCAAGAAGATTAGGTTTGTAAGCTACGGGTTGCATGCAAATCGAAAGCATGCTCTTCAGAGCACACTCTAGAGAATGAATAGCTTTTATTTTCAATATATTCCAAGAAGGTATTCAGAACAAATCTCACTGGGCATACACAGCTGGTTTTACCACTTTTAGACTAACAACAATACAAAGACAGTCTCAAGGCACTTAAAGATCTAAGTCATCCTTGGGGGCCTAAATTATAACTTGGTTAAACCTAGCTACGTTTTCACCAAGCTGATCTCTAAACCCAGGGACCACACAACGGTGGGGTTATCAGTGTCTACTTGAGGAAGC